TTAATTAGTTTCAAAAGTTGTTTTTAAGGAAAAGGATAAATATAAGTCATTGGAATATTTGGGGAAAAGAACGCTTTTTGTATCTTTATGAAAATACATTATAAGAATGCGCATGCTCTATTTTTTCTATTCATGAGATGCCTGTTATTTTTTTTAATATTCTTAAAATAAAGATAATTATTTAATGAAAAAAATTACTGTTAATGTCACTTTAATAATACTACTCTTTTTTTGAGAAACTAAGCTGATCATTCTCAGGGATGTTTCTCAGAGCGTCGCCAATAGCCCATTGTGCAGCTCTAGTGCGACCTAAATGAACAACAACAATGGTTGATTATAAACTACATACTATAGTCTTAATATTATTTTGCAACCCTTTTATTTTGATTATAAGAAACAAATATAATATATAAATAAAGAACACTTTATGAACCCTTTTAAAAATAGTAAAACAATTTTTTAGAAGTTATAGGATATGTAGTGTTATAAGTGTAATGTAAGTGATATATATTGTAAAATACTTATAAAATTTAAAGAATAGTAATTATTTGATCTAATTTTTTTTTTGTAAAAAAGAAAGAAAATGGCAATCTGAAGTAAGAGAAAAGACATAGGAGAAAGATTAAAAATTTTGTGCCCGGTATGCTATGGAAGAAAGTTCCATTCCTCGAAGTTTTATAAATATTAAATAAATGTAATTTAAAAATATAAAGCAAAAATGTTTTTATAAATTAAAAGAATCGTTTTATTTTCCTACTTGTAAGTGTAAGGATTATTGAAACTTATACTTCAGGCATTAAAATATAATAAAAATAATACTTCTGTGGATTAGAGTACTAAAAAACAATGTCAACAACAGATGATATGTTCCTTAATCCAACCTTTCAAAAAAACAAGGAAAAGAAATCGAACTTTCACAAGTAGATTAACTCAAAATCTATCTATTAATAACTAGAAAGAAAAACATTTTTCGGTTGTTGGCTTAATAAAATATTTCGGAGAAATCTTAGCAGTTGGCATCCCGGCATATGGACATCATTTCTAGAAAATATAATGCTAATTAATAATTTAAGTATAATGCGTTTATTTAAATATTTATGAAATGATTACTTACAATCAACAAAGAAAATCCTTGTTTGTTCACTTAAATAGCTGAATCAACTGTAAATGTAAGAGCCCAGAAGCTGTAACGATCCGATCAAAATAGCTCATAAAAATTAAAAATCAACTTTAAATATATGATTTTTTAAAATTAAATTTTGAAATAAAAATTAAAACGAGCAGAGTTTTTTTTTATATGAGCATAAGCTTGTCTTGTCTTGTCATTCAAACTGGTTATGAGCATGAGCACCTAACAACTTACACTTACTTCTATCTTTATTTTTCAGAACATTAGCATTCGTTGTTAAATGGTTTCATTGGTTCAAATTAGTCGTCGAGCGAGGCAGAGGTGCCTCCTATTTTTAGTATTTCACACATTTGTGGAGGTATTTCTCACCATGGGTGGCAAAATTCTCCTTTTGTGGAAGGATTTATGCTAACCTACAACATGGGTTCTATTTGAAATCTATTCAACTGATTAGGAAAATATTTTTTAAAGCCACTGATGAAACTGATAAAATTGATAATCACTGATAAAATTGAAGATTTACAAGCATTTTACTACAGAATAATTAGTCTAGGTTAGACTGGGACACCCCATGGTTTTCACATTTCTTAGTCCTCTGGTCATCACCAAAGATCTATCTCTGCTTGCAGGGGTTCCATCCATTTCCTTCCAGGATAATTACCCTTTTAGAACGACTACAATCTTGCAGTGTGATATGAAGAGGAGGAACAAATTGTTTAGCCTGTCTCTTTGTTTGTGGTTGTGAAAAAATTAGTTACTTAAAGATTTATTCTGGGATCCTGGATACTTTTTCTTTTAAATGTTGTATGCTTTTTTTTTTTAATTCTGCTCTAACTTCAAAAAAAAAAAAAAAAAATTAATGAAATTCTTAAGTGAAAAAAAAATTGTTGATGTTTATTGATTTTGCACCTTTTTAAAATAATGCACCAATGGCATTCGCCATAATTGCGGTACCCTAGATACACTACTGAGTAAAAATATACGAAATGGAGGAAAAACTCGCCAAATATTTCCTTAATACAAAGTTGGCATAACTTTAAGGTATGTAATTTCCATTAAGGTTTTTGTAGCAAAATCCAGTTAAAATTTTTCAATTAGAATTAAGAAACTTAGCGACGGTTGTGTGGGAGCTTTTAACAAACAAGTTCTATCTTAACTCAGATTTTATGCAATTTACAAAGCTTCCTCCAAAACAATCTTTTAAGTACTTTGATAAATATATCAGAATTATTTCATCGACAAAAGATTAAACTTGAAGATTAGAAAAGGATTCGCTGTCGCAACGAACTATAGGAGGCGTTGTTGTATGAGACGAATACCTGCGATTTCTATATGAACAGTCTTTCAGTTGCTCAGGAGACGTCTTTAATGTAGCGCACATGTAGCACTGTAACGTTCCTACTTTATTGTGGCTTATTAAATTTAAAAAGGAAAAATGTTCGATACTCTTTTTTATACAAGCGAAAACAAAATTGTATCGCTTTTTTTTTTCTAGAGAAGGAATATCCAAAACACATCAGAAAAATATTTGTAAATAAACAGAAAAAAATATGTATCTTCTTATTAGAGTTAAAACCTAATGCCTGAGAAATCGTTTTACGAAATTTAATGATAAAACCTGAAAGGTTTATTCAAACTTTACATTTCCATAGTTTTATGAATCATTTTACTTCAAACATTAAAATATGCAAAAAGTATGCATAAGCCCATAATTTTATATAATTTAATTTTATATAATTTAATTTTACAAAAAAAGTTTTTTGACAACAATTTTTATCAAAAAATTTTAAGTTTCAATAAAAATCATCATTAAACAACTAAAAAAGGCAAGATAAAAAATACTTACGAAAAAAAAAGCGATTCTAAAAATTCTTTACATAAAAATAAAAGAGCTTTCGTGTTTTTTTTTTTTTTTTTTANTTCGGTTTTTTTTTTTTTTTTTCATTCCTAATCGGACATAGAAAACCATTCTATCGAGAACTTTCATCAAATTAGAAAGAAAATTATTTACAAGCAAGTTTTTATTATGAAAATCACAATACTTACCTGATTTATAAATTCGGAGAATTCCAAAGTGATATGTTCTTCGTTTGAAAACTTTATTCTCATATAATATATATATTATTTTTGTTATGTTTTTATATGTTATATGTATATATGTTATTTTTTAATAAGTATTATGTATTATGTATTATATGTTATTTTTTAATAAGTAAAAAATCAGGACGGCACTTGGAAACTATGAACTGAGTTGCTCAGAAAATTTGCAGTCAGATGATTGTCTAAATTTCAAAAGTTGAAGAAATTTAGAGCACGCTCAATGGATTTTATGAGGCCGAACTTTTCCAGACTTACAATGCAATGATATTTCATAAGTTATACAGTTTATTACTTATTCCTTATCCCGAACGAATAATATTTGAAGACGTTCCATTGGGACATTATAATGACACGTTTTTCAGTTTCTTTTCGTCATAGTCAAAAAATATTCCCTGGTTCTTTCCTATTCCTTAACTTAACATCAATTTACTGCCTCAGTTACATTTTTGTTTAGCTCTTTTTCATTTAATTCCGCTTTAAAATAAATACTACTATAAACAGAAAAAAGAAAAATCCATAATTTAAAATTTCTATATATATAGTCTATAATTACAATTGTGATGTCAATTTCAATGGGGAAAAAAATTCAAAGACAACAAAATTGAGAGTAAAGAAATTTTTTTAAGCGAATCATAATAAACTTTAGGGGCTTAGGAAAAACACCCTGCATCCTTAAAGAAAAAGACTCCAAGTCCAAGCATTTTATTGAATTAAAATAAAACAGATAGCCAAACTATTAAAAGGAAAAAGAATTTATTAATTCAAGTAAAAATAATAAAAGAAAATGATAAGCATCATCTAATTAGTAGTAGAGCTTACTACCGCATCATGACATTGTATACGCTAGGGACAAAAAAGTTTACCACGTTATGGTAAAACAAATAAATAAATAAATAAAATAAAATAAGATAAAATAAAATAAGATGAAATAAAATAAGATAAGATTAAATAAAATAAAATACAATATGAAGCTCTTTACAGCTTTACATTAGCATTAGAGTGAAAACTTTTTAAATACATCTCTGTTTATATTTTTGTTCAAAGTATACAAAATTAATTGTTTTATGAGAATAAATAATCAAATTGTTATCACCAAAATATTTATATGTAAAATATATTTACTTTTTTCTTAACTTCAAATGGTTGAGCCATTGACAAATTTACTAAGAAAATGCAAACCCATTCATTTTAAATAATTCGAGAGTCATATTATTAAGAAGGGAAAAAAAAAGTTTTTTACTTATTCATTCTGATTGAAAAATTTAGAGAAATAATATATTTATTTTTTAAGACATTAAAAAAGCAATCCTATTTCGTTTAATATGGATGGTCTCAGTGAATTTGTTGAAGCGAGGGTGCCATTCCCTCAAAATTGTGATGGCATGTCTTCGGATCATCCTCATGGATGTTTCCCAGACCGTCGCCAATAGCTCTAGAGCGACGTAAATGAACTACAACAACTCAGTGAGGTTGCTCAAGTTTTTTAGAAAATGTGCTGAATGGTATGTTACATTCTCATTACATATATTAAAAGATTTAAGAACCATTTTCAACCGAATGCGATTGCCGCATCTCCGATTTACGTTGAGAAAGAAATAAGGAATCTGATTGGTGAGCTCATCGCAGGGAACTATATTTCGCCAATCAAGTTCTCATATTTCCTGAATGGTGATCAGGGCTATCGCGTTCGGAGAAGTGCGATTTCTGCGTCTGATCCAAATTATGCTTGTAACCTCGGTTTTTACTTACTTTATATGTTCAGTTTGGCAACAAAGAAATTGTCACGCAGGTTTTTTTTTCGACTGTTTGCTTCTGCTCTGTTCTCTGCGGGCACTGTTTTCGATGACGGGTACTAATCATGTACTAATGTGAATGAAAAGCTGGATACTAAATGATTTTTCAATAGATAATTTTATTTGTTATAATAAAATATTATTTTGGGAAGTTTAAACGCTATCACAAATCTCTCATAATTTTGAATATATGCCCTATATAAATGTATTTAGATTCATTCTTTGGTTTGTTTAAAACATTTTTCCAGAATATTTAGACTTTTTTTTTTTGTTTCCATGTATTTTTCTTCATAATCATATTCAAAATTGTTTCGAAAGTTTTATTCGAAGAGTAATCAAAGGATAGCATCGGTAATCATGCATTTAATTTTATTTTATTAAACTATTTACATTTGTTGACATTTAACTTAGTCTTGAAAATATCAGATTTAGTATTTACCGATTCAAGTAATGGTCCGTTTTATTGAAAAATTTCTGGTATCCTTAAATCTATAAAATATCTAAAAAAAGTTATTAACCAACTATCTCTTATTTTACGTTTTATTATTCAGATGATCATTCCTGTTTACATCCCCTTTTGTTAAATTCTTTCATACAAAATAATGAAATAGAACAAAAATTTAAAAAATAAATAAACATGTTTTCCAGTGTAGGTAACTTTTATTTATTGTATTTATCATTCTAGATTGTTGATCCTGCTATAAAATTTTACTTAATGAATAAAAGACTAAAATTTTATGCTGATTTTTCTTATCTTTCCATTAGGTATGAGGCTTATCTCATACCTAATGGGAAGATATTTTATTATACAAAATTTGAGCATTAAATTATGCAATATTAAAATATTTATTTTATCTATTTAGTGCTTTATTAACAAGTTCTAAAAAACTTTATTCTTAATAATTGATTATGTTGCAAATAACTTTATATATAAAATATTTTGTAGTTTATTGTATTTATAAGTTGCTGTTATGTGTTAATCTTTACTTTGATGCGGTAAATTAATAGTAATAGCTTCTAATTGTTCTTGTCTTGCTTCTATTTGTTCCTTCTGCATTTGTTGCTTGTAGTTTTAAAATTTTGAGAACGCTTATTTACTTTATCATTACCCAGAGGCAACTAATCCATTTAGAATATAAATATTTTAACTAGCTAAATAGGTTTAATTTAAGCATTTTTCAAAAACCATTTTGCAGTGTAAAGTTATTACTCACAAAAGGATCAGCAGAAATATCAAATAGACAGTTATAATGACGAAAAATAACATAATTTTTTTCATCAGCCTTCAGGAACAGAACTATTTACTGTTCTGCAAAACTTTACTTTACTTTAGAAAGATACTTTAGAAGGTTCCGCAATTATTCTTCATCAACTACCTTCACTGGTTAAATTTTTTTTATAAAACTATTTTTTACTTTGCATATCAAAATCATAATAAAAAAAATAAATATCAATTAGTAAATATCTAATCAATAAATGATTAAAATGTGAATATACTAGGGAAATATTGATGTCTTGTGGTTTTTCCAAATTGGAATATGTGGCGAAATTATACTGGCAAAATAAGCTGTCAATTGCTACAGTTTTGAGAAATTTTTGCTTTATTCCATTAAAGATATATACTCCTATGTTACTATATTAAAGACCTATTCCCATCCAAATAGTACATCATATAATTTCGTTACATATAAAATAACACATTGTAACATGCAAATATTAGAGAATTTTAGTCACCTTCAAGGCTAGATTCATATTTTACAGCCCTTAAAACAAACTTTAATATGGATTTCTTTAATCTTTACACAAAAAATCTTATATTTATATTTTCTAAGATTTATTTCAGAAAATAGAGGCCCTTTTTTAATTGCTTTTTTTAAAGCTAGTTTTCACTTTAATTATGGAAATATCTATTTTCATAAGCATACTAAAATATTAACTTCGAAGTTTTTTTATTGTTGCTTATTTCTTCTCAAAACTATACATTTACTGCTTTATATTATTTATTTTATATGTGCATTTATAGAGACGGAAATTCACTTAAGTTTTTTTAAAAGAATTTTAACCAGGTCCTTGGTCTCTCAAATCTTAATGACAATTGTTCATGTCTTACCCCATTTAGTATAGGCACCTCATACCTCCTTGAACTTATGCACTTCCATAATCTTGTCATACTGTGCGCAATTTTTCCTTTACTCTTAATTAATATGGTTTATTCTTATCCTTTGATTCAATTTTTCATTTCTTCAAAACTTGCATACGTCGTATCTTGGTAGATTGTATCGAATTAAAAAAAGTTTTTAAAAGAAAAATATTCTTTATAGATAATGAATAAAGAGTCGGTGGATCCTGGCAATGCGTAGAAGGACCTTTGTCTTTATTGTATCTTTGGCCTTACTTTCTTGGGCAGCAGTTACTTATCGTTTGTTTTTACAAAGGCCTCAAGGAAAGGTATGCATTTTGGTCTTAGTAAGATTATAAATTCTTTTTATTCTTTCTATATTTTATGAATAACTAAATTAAATAAAACTATAAAGTTTTAAAAGGTCCAATTAAAAAATAAATAAAAATCAATTTTATAATTTCATTGCTATTTTTTCTAACTTTAAGATTGCTCTTTAATGATGCATATGATATAGAGGACTAAATTTTATGAATTATTTAGTTGCAGTGATAATTGTACCACTGTTTGTACAAAATAGAAATCTAACTTTTTTTTATTCTAAAATTTAAAAGTAAAGGTCAAAATACAAATTATTTATTTATTATTATGGAAACATGTCTATTATAGTAAAAATAAATATCGCTAAAAGCGATGGAGTTGTTTTTAAAGAAATGAAATTACAGTTATTAACCTGTTTTTTTATTGATACTTCACTTTTTTAGCTTTCGATTCTTTAACTTTGCATTCATTAAACATTTTGAATATTAGTTTGATTATTTACTATTTTGTAAATATTTGATTTTTACTACAAGGCTATAAACTTATAAAAGTTCTGATATTTTGTTAGATTATAATTAATACATATTTAAATTTTTATGTTACTAAAATGTGGTTAGAGCTAATTCAGATTATGGACTAAAGTTTTAATGACTTAGAAACCTGGTTCTCTGGTAATGATCCTAAGGAGAATTGAGCAAAATTTTTTTTACCATCCTAATATTTTATATCCACAGCACGAAAAGTTGTAGTCTTAAAAATAAATATCAGTTGTAAAATATTTCATTTTTATTTAGCTAAGCATTTTTTGTGAATAATTTTAAAACAAGCATAAATAATGAATAATTATTAATCATTGAAAAATAAATTGAATTAAGCCCAATAACCTTATAGTGAAGCTATAACCAATAATCTCCTTTGTGAAGCTAGAAAAATTGTTTCTTTTACCGTGTTCGAATGAGTTAAAATGTGGCTAATTAATGTCATTTGTATATGTCTTAAAATTTAAAGTGATAAGTCCTATTTCAAGAATGAAAAATACTATTTATGAATGAAAATATCGTAGTAGGATTGATCATATATTACTTGGAATGATTATTGGTAATTTTCTATTTGCTTTTCCTACTAATATTAGAATAGTTTTGTCCCCTCATTTTTTTATAGTGTTGTAGGCAGTGATGGGCATCATTCACGAAAATTTTATTCATGACTAAATTTATTCAGAATAAATTTATTCTGAATGATTATTCATGTGAAATTTTAGTCATTATTCATCATTCATTATGCAAATTTATAAAAATTTTTGAATAATGATTGATGAATAAACTCATTAGTCATGACTAATTTTTCTGAATAAAATTTTGAATAACCAGCAAAAAATGCAATCGATATGTCTTTGTCTATAACGAGAGTTCATTTTAAAATTTTGAATAAACTTTATTCTAAAATCTATAAAACGCAATTTTTTATAGTTTTTGAAAACAAACGATAATACTATTTTAAATTTTTAAATAAAATTTTAACTTAAAAAATTAAACGCTTTTTTGCCATGTAACCATTTCTCAAAAGTATGCATTATGTTAGACAAAAGTAAATTTTCTCAAACATTATATAAATATACTTGAAAAGGATTAACGTTTTATTTGTAGTTGTCATAATCGTAGTCAATTAGAGTATTCCGTGCCCATTTTTGTGGACCAGTGAAATTATTGAGTTATTCTTGACTAATGAATAAAGGATACTGAATAACGAATAATGAATGATTTATTCTTTATTCAAAATATTTCTGACTAATGAATAAATCTTTATTCATCATTCATTATTCAGATTTTGAGTAATTATTCATCATTCTTTATTCATTATTCTGAATGACAAATGCCCATCTCTGGTTGTAGGGCAAATATAATGTTCTAATAATTTTTTAACTAAAAATTACTTTTATCTCAAGGTTCAACGGAGTGTGAAATTTCACCAACAGTTAGAGCAGCTGGAGGTAGAATTAAAAGACCAATTGAAAGTAAACAATGAACTCTTGGGACTTCTTAACAATTTCAAAGAAAGTAAGTCATTATATTGCTCATTCATTTTAATACCATAGCCATATTTTTAGGCTCAAAAGTAATTGTATCTGATATTTTGTGCTGAGTACTTAGAAAAACCTTAAATGAATACGTTTGGAAAATATCCAGTGCATTTTGTATCAGTTCATTTCTAAAGTATAAAGTTTACTAATGAAATGTTTATGAATGTTAATGAAAAGTTTACTAATGAATTCCTAAAAATAAAAAATAATTTTTAAATCTTATTTAAGCTGCTAGATAGTGGCACTGTTTTAAAACCATCTTACATTCATCTTGGAATTATATAATTTTCGGCTAATACTGAGGAGAAGTTGTGCATAATCTACGTGATAATGGCTTATAGAAAATTTCTCACCATTATGCAAATTGTTTTTAATATGACTCATTTTTTTAAAAATATAGGAGCACTCAAAATTTGCATATTAACCCTGTCATCATTTTTAGAAAATTTAGATACAACAACAGAAAATTTGATACGTCAGTAACGAGTTTTATCTTCAAAGAACTACCAAATTTAAAGAAATGTATGTTAAGTATAAAATCAATATAGATTTATATAAAAATTAAAATATTTTTTAAAGAAAATTAGTGATTTTAAACATTCTGACAAAATATGGCAGCAAAAGGTTTGAAACTAGTTACAAAAGTAAATAAATTGCTTGCAGCAAGTTTTTCAAGTGAAATTGCGTGTTTGCAGAGTGGTTTTCATTGTATCCAAGTCTGTAAATGATCCAAGTCAACATCAATTTATAGACTTGGATAATTTTATATCTACTTGTATCATTTCAAAAGTACTAACTTGGATAAAAACTAATATTTCCTAAAGAAATAGTTTTGTCCAAGAAAGTTTACAATGTATTTTATATAAATTGTATTATTATATGCAGTATTAGAATGGTATTTATCATATGAATTTATCGAATTTTATTCATTTCTTCCTAGAATATTCCAATAACATCAAAATTTTTAAAAATGCTACACATGACCTAAGGCATCCAGATTTTAGTAATGTTGTAATTGGTGTTCTAGTCTTCGCTTGCAACAGAGTGACTGTAAAGAGAAATTTAGATCAACTTTTAAAGTAAGATTTAATTATATTTTTGTATTGACTTCGTGCTATCTTTTCAATCGCTTGTATTTATTTTTTTAAAACTTTTATGAAAATGTTATTATATTTTTGTTTTTACTTTTACACAAAATTAATTATTTTCTGAATAAATTTTTGTAAATTATGTTTATTATTTTATAATTACATTTTATGAAGTTCTTTCTACATTAAACTTTTATCAAAAAATAAAGAAATCTTGAAAATAAAAAAATATTAATGACATTTGATATTTTGTATAGCTAGCAGCAATGATTATGAATATCAACTGCAAACTTTTATGCTTTTTTGCAAAAGATTTCTTTTAAGGGAATCAAAATTCATACTTCAGAAATTTTAATTTTAGATATAAAAACAAATAATATTGTATGAAAGGGCTGATAATTATGTGTTGTTTTTAATTGTTGGCAAAGTAGAAACAAAGCCTTAATTGTTAATTTAGGATTTACGGAAAAAAATTTCTTCAAAACATGCAATAGTTTGCTCTAAAATGTCATATTGTTTTTATCTATAAAATAATGTGTATCGGAGTTTAAAATTTGTGTACTCAATATGTTATTGTAATTGTTATAAAAGTAGAGTAAAAACTATTGTGTGCAACTGGTAAAATTTATTGTCTTCTTTTACTATTTTTTATTACATTGTAGTACCATAGCAGTGATTTATCAAATACTTTTACATAGATAGAAAAGTATGCCTAACAAAAGGCAATAGTGTTTGAAAATGGAAATAATACATTTTGATTATGCTTGTAAAGATTAATAATGCTACAAAAACAAACAAAACTTTTTACTAACAGGGACTGACGTAAAAACAGTAAAAATAAAATGCAAGAACTAAGTTTCCAAGATTGTTTCTGAAAAATTAAAAACTTGAGATTCGAGTCGGACAATTTTCAGATAAGCAGTTGCGGAAAAGCAAGAATTTTTGTTTATTTGATGTAATCTTGCTTATGCAAATTAATTTTATATAAATTTAACCTAATCTGTTTTATTGCTACGTTGGTTTATTAGAACATAAAAATTGGTTAGGAATAGTTCATCTATTGGAAATAGGAGTTGGTAAAACTGCTTGATCATCACAATGTCATCCATTGCAAATATTCCACATTGTTTATAAATTTTATCTATTTTTGTTACATTATTATCTGTATTTAAATTCGTAATTTTTGCCTGAAAAGAAGTTTTACAAATTTACTGTTTTTGACAAATTGGTTTCGTAATAATTTGTTAATTGACTGATTGGATATACATGCTTTTTCTGCAATGCCTAAAATGCAATTAGGTAGTTCTGAAATATCAGTTATTTTTTTTATTTTTTTATTTTTTGCAAATCTTTTAATTTTGATGATAATAGTATAATTTATACAAAGTTCAGATTTTCCAGAACAAAAGTTAAATTCCATCAAATTCCTAATTTTCCCTTCGTAATCCAGTCTGAAATGACAATAAATAACAGTCCTGATAAAAACATGCGCTTGTCTAACTCAAGTCTTCACCAAGAAGAAATCAGTTGGATTCCAACCACTTCAACTCAAGCTTTGCTATTGATACAGTCCTTTTTACAACATTTATAAATTTTTGTTGTATACCATAAAGTTATAGAATTTACCATAATTTGTCCATTATAATTTAATCTAGAGACTTATTGAAATCGATAGTGGTCTTACTAAAGGTGTAGCATCATATTCCAGACATTACATTGTTCATTTATATTTCTGAGTATAAACATGTGTTGGACAGTACTAATACGAGTATGAACTCCAGCTTGTTCTGTATTAAGAATGTGTTAAACTTTATTTTTTATTCTATTTACAATAATTTTACCAGGTGCGTTTTTGATGGTGTTAATAATAGGCTAATATCCTGCCGATTCTCACATTTTGTTAAATCTCTAATTTTGGTATTTTCACAATCATTGTCTTCTTCCACTGATCTGGAACCTTATCGGTTTTCCAAATTCTATTGATTGGTTTAAGTAAAACCTGTGATTTTAACTTAGTAGAAAATTATAGAAGAGCAGTTTGCTTTCAAAAAATATCCGTGTAACAAGAAAAGTTTTAAACTGGTTTAAATTCTCATTAGAATACCTTTTAAAAGAGAAGAAAAAGGTAGTATTTTTAAAACTCTGCTAGAAAACAAAGTTTTCTGGAAAGCTATTAAAACATTTTGATTTATTTTATATTTTGTATGTCAGGTCATAAATATATTGAAATATAAAATTTAGTTTCTATGTAAAGAACTTTATTTGTTGATTTCTAGTTTATATCTCGGTATTTTAAATGTAAAATTATATGTATTTTCATTTGTTAAAATGTATGATTACTTTTTATTTTTGTGAATTAATTATGGAAGCTTAATTGATTTACTCATCGAAAATAATTTACTTTAGGTATAGGCCTTCTGCACATCAGTTTCCTATTATTGTTAGTCAAGATTGTGGTCATGAGCCAACAACAAGAGTTATTCAGTCATATGGTGATCAACTCACACTTATACAGGTAAATACATTTTATTCACCATAATACATACATTTTATATACAAAGAATGTAGTTACATGCATTCATATATTATAATTTCACTATACTTGTTGGATGAAAACAAATAATTAATGATAGTATTCAAGTGATAAGCAAATTTTGTTTTGCGGAAATATTTTTTAGATGCAACTAGCTCAACGCTTGAGGTATACAAACACAAAGCAGCAGGTAGTAGGTCTCTAAGAAGCCCTAATGCAGTAATTAAAACAATCAGGGTATTGAACTGGCAACAAGGAGAAACCACATTCAACAATGTTCTAGAGAGGCCCACTCTTTTGGACTGTCGTTCCAATACTGACAATGAAACTTTATTTCAAAGTTAAATACAGTAGAGTGCCGATTATCCGAACTGATCGGGACCAATTGTGGTTCGGTTAATGAAAAGTTTGGATAGTTAGAAAGTTGTTTAAAATCTAGTTTAAATGATTATTATTTATGCACTAACTTCCCTTTTCTCACTTTTTCCAGGCTTAGAACTGGAAGTACTATTCAAAATAGCTCTGTCGCGTTTAAAAGTTTTTTTCTGCAATTTTTAAATCATTTTTATTTTATTTTTTTCATTTTGAAGTTTTTAATCATATTTCAGCTTTTTATAATTTTTTTGTTGTCAATTACTGATTTAAACCTTTTTTTATTTATTTTCCATTGCAAAAGAAATCCAGCTAAGACTTTTGTTTCAAAGAAGACGTTCTTTTTTGAGCAGCGCTTATTTTTTCAAAATAAATCAACTGAACCGGATCACATCATTTTGACGTTCTAGACTGTCAAAATGAAGCTCTCATTCTTTGAAAATAATTTTCCGTTGCAGAGGGCTAAAGGGGTATGTAGGTTTAACTGTATAACAATACATATATGTATGGCTACTATAAGAAAACTGCTAAGAAAGGTTGTAAATTAAATATGATCATTAAATGTAGTGGATATTATTTATTTTTCTAGATTTAGAAAAATTGTCGATAAGTTAAAAAGTATTCTAAACTTGAAAAAAAAAAAGAATTCGGATAATTGGACGTTCGGATAATCGGCGCTCTATTGTAATTTCTAGTAGAATCAACTGAACTGGATTCGATTTTTTAATTTTTAGTCTAAATTTTTTTTCTTTGTTGAAAGCTCTAGATTCAAAAACATTGTCAACATAGACTACACAACATTTCTCACCTAGAATTTAAAGATATTTCCTGAAAATATAACAATTAAGGGATAATGCAATTTTTTATTATGTTAAAAATTTTTTTTTTTCATTTTAGCATCCAGACCAGAGTGACATCCCCTTGTCCGGCAAAGAAAAGAAATTTAAAGGATACTATAAGATAGCACGCCATTATGGTTGGGCTCTCAATGAGACCTTTTTTCGTTTTAATCATAAAAGTGTCATAATTGTTGAAGGTAAATTTAAAGTTTTCTTAGATTGTTTTAGCAGTTAAGGTATATCAACTTAAACAAACTTTTAGAATGAATATAATGTTGAAAGTAAAGAAACTTTCCTGATAAATTTCAATATTGAATTTGTCTAAAAAGAAAGCTTGTGTTGAAATAAGCTTGCAATGGTGATAGTGTCAATGAAGAGTAAATTTTGAATTTTATTGGCATTCTCTATTAATTTATTATTGGTATTCTCTATTCATTATTTATTATTGGCATTCTCTATTCATCTATCCTTTTAAATACTTTGTTGGTTTTTATTAACGATCTTAATTTACTTATGCATTTTTAAAACTTCTTTTTTGTTTATCTAAGTGTAGTATGTTTTCTGTTCTCTTCACATTTAGTAGCGTATAAAGGGTATCCGCGCTCCTGGAAAGTCATAAAAAATCATGGGTTTCGGTATTGAGCAAAATTTGTCATGATTTTAACTATTTTTTAAAAATATCATGAAAAGTCATGGATTTAGGTCGCCGAAAAATCTAATTTTTAAAATGGAATTTACCCCCCATTTCATGGTGTTCCAACTATCTGAATTTGTAACAAAATCCCCACTCACAGTCATATTTGATTAAAATATAAAATGTTTTTATCGTGTTCTTTAAAAATTGTGGTGTTCTTTCAAAAAGTGAAAGAAAACACATAATTTCCAGAGCGAATTATCTTTAAAACTTCTGTGACTTCAGAATTTTTCTTATTATATACTTTTTTAATTTTATCAATTTAAAATTCTCTCTGAAGCAAGCCAGTCATTGGCGAATTTTTTTATTCCGAATTGAGAACGGAAAAATCAGGAGTATTTCTATCCTTTCTGATGAACGAGAAAAGTATCTTTAGAATTTAATTCTGCAGAAAAAAAGAAAAAAAATTGCTCTTGTATTTTTTTGCTTCAACTATTTCTTTACTCCGTTTTTTAAATTTAAAACCTATAAATATGACGATGCAGAGTATAACAGTTTTGGTTATACCTATCATTTCAATGAATGTTATTATATTGCTTTTTTAAATTTATTGTTGTGTTTTTATCGGAGAAAATAGTAACTTGGTTAAATCATGAAAAATTCTTGGAATTAGTCATGGAAAGATATGAATTTGAAAATCTGAAATGTAGCAGATACCCTGTGTATAATTGAATAATACATATATTTGTGTGGTTAAAATTTATAATTTTGCAATGAATTTTACTTGTGAAAATTTATTGGTGTATGTTTTTAAATGGGTAAGCTATTAATACTATTTACTTTTTCATCGAGTTTGAAACACCTTTTTGTAACTTGTAAAATTTTTTTTTTAAATTTTTATTCTTCCTGAATAATTAGATGGTAATAATAGGGTAAATATGTAACATAATTTTCTTGGTCTAAAACATTTTTTTAAAAAGGTTTGCAGATTCTTATGTTCAACAATTTTGAATGCTGCAAAAAGTTTTTTCATATATTTTCAGAAAAATATGTTTGAAACAGAGACATGATTTTTTTTTCTTACACTAGGATTTTTGAATGCTTTAACTTTATTAAAATTTTGAACCAAATGGCTCTGTTTATATTAATAAAAATTTGATTTCAATATAAATTAATGAATCTCAGAAATAAGGTTCCATACCTGCCAACTTTTAATTCCTTCCATTATCATTTTTCCCAGTGGTATTAAAATGGAATTAAAACTTCAATTTTAAGCAAACAAGTACGTTGTATTTGAGAAACTTAAGTTGACAACCATGATAGTAACGCATATTAATATATGTGCTTAATTTTTGTAAGAATAGTGGTGATCAATATCATTTAAAAATTAAGATTATAAAAGAAAAAATAGTATATAATTACTACCACTTTAAATATGAAAATAAAATCTTCCGGAAAATCCGGAAGAGTTGGCAGGTATGAGGTTCGTATTAAGAGTTAATAGAAGTACCTTAAGAAATTCATACATTAAAAATATAGTAATTAGCTACAAAATATCAACAGCAATTTAAAATATATATTTATGTTTTAACACAAATCAAATACAGTGGCTTTTCACTTGCACTTTTTGGGAAAAAACAAAAGCAGTTTATCTGTAAAATGCTGATTCTTAGAATACCAATTCAATAAATTTGTACACAGCTGTGTCGTTGGAGATGGTGCCTGTGTAAAAAAGCATTATGCAGGAGACAGAATACATCCGATCACGTGAACAAGGTTTGGAGGAAATTCAGGCAGCCTTGAAGAAATTTTCGATCTAATTTTTAAAAACAATTGCTTCAAATTTTTTTATGGTAAACAAAAATTTGTCGTTTTACTAAAATATTTATTTTTCCGTAAAACTATGAAAAAAAAAGAAGATTGAAATAGAATTGAATCAAGTTAATAAAATTCAAATATTTTTAATGTAATATTATGACATGGAAATTAGCACTGACTTTATTAATAACTTCTTGGCACGTTTGATTTGTTCTGATACCATCAATTATCCATGCAGAGTTTCGATAATTTGGTTCTTGCAATTATTGCTAGAAATTTTCTTGCTTTTCTTTTAATCCTGATATTTTTTGTATGATAGCTTATTTGACCTTTTAATGTTACAATTATATCATTTTAACCATTGATTTTTTGGTATGGCCATTGTTTTATTTGCTATTGATTTTCAAATGTGTTTTTTAAAATCTGATATTCTTTATATGCATCCATATTTTTAACCTGATATTTTTATTTACATTATTATTATGATTTGTGATATTGCAACAGTGCATTTGATTCTTGACTTTTTGACTTGAAGTTTAATCAAATTTGCAGTAGTTATTGTTACTTTATTCTTTCAAAGATTTTGAAATACCATTATTTTCAATATGATAATATTTATTACGACATGCAAGACTCTAATCACGTGTTTCAGTAATCTCTGTTTGATTCGTCCATTCTGTAAGAGTTTGTCTTTAACTCACATTGTTTTGTAGTTGATCTCTTTCTCAGCATTTATTCTTACATTGCCATAGATTGTATCGACATTATATATTGATGAGAAAAAAATACATACAATGTATTTTTCCTTCCTCCCATTAAATTTAATGAACCCTATTTTTTTGTATAAAAATGAAAGTCTGTTATTTAATGTTCTTTTTTTCTTCATTAAACTGAACAGAAGTAATCATCTATGTATGAAAACAATTCAGAATTAAAAAAAAAAACTACAGACTGAGATAAAAAGTTTCCTTCCATAGCAAAACTATATAACCATTTAGTTTCTAAAAATGTTCAATTAATTTCCTATTACCTTTTTTTTTTGTTCACGTCTGTGTAATTAAAAATATTCAGCTCTACAGATTGTTCCATGAAGTGTCTATCTCATGGAATTTACTTCCAATTCATAAAGTTTCAAATCTTTTAAAGAAGTTCATTAAAAGACTCAAAGAAGACATTAAAATACCATTTTGGTATGTTTTCATCAGCATTCTGTTTAAAAGTATCTAAAACATCTAAGATCATTGATAGCATGCATTAGGAGAAAGGAAGATTGTCATTTATGGTTAGTTAAAGGGATGAAAATGTTTCTTCTGTGTTTTCTTTATTAACTGAAGGAAATTAGGCTACTTGACTTCCTGACTATTTTTAGATTTTGTTTCGTAATTACAAAATAATTAATTGGACAAATAAGCCGTAAGAAAGATGTAAAAGTAAGTCATCATTAAAATATAAATTTATTAAAGTTTATTTTAACATATTTTTGATTCCTTATGCCATATCTATGTAAAAAAGAAGAAAAAGTCTAAAGATAAAAAAAATCTAAAAGAAAAAGAATATTTTAATTTGTTTACTTATTAGTTTAAATTCCTAAAGTTTATTAGTGAGACCTTAAATTTAGTTTTATAATTTCTCATTATTTTCAGTATAATTTGTTTTCCATGCTAGTTTGTTCAAGAATAGTGTAGACTCAAAGGAATTTTTTTCATTGTTTTTGAAGAAACTATCAAAAAATTTTAACAATATGCAAACTTTATTTTCCGAAAATATTTGAAAATAGTTGTTGTAACTAAAAAACACTATAGTTTTGGGGGAAATTTTAAACCAAAAAACTGTTGTGTTGAAATATGAGGCTTTAAGAATTTTCTGCTTGCTTTGTAGTTGCTTTAGAGCCTTAACAAGAAACCTCAGAAAACTTATCGTATTATTTATCGATCTACCTATTATTTTTCTTATTATTATCTTATTAATTTTCAATGTACTCGCTTATATTAATTAGAAAAAATTAATTAGTACTAAATTCATTTTTATCTTATAGATGATTTAGATATTGCTCCAGATTTCTTTGAGTATTTCCTGGCTTCGTATCCTATTTTAAATAATGATCCTACCCTTTGGTGTGTCTCAGCCTGGAATGATAACGGGAAAGATAGTCTGGTGGCTTTTGAACCAGGTTTACTATATTAACAATTTTCTATTAATAATTTTAAAATATTCTATCTATTTCTAGTTAAGTTATAAAAATTGAATAAGTTATTGATATATTTTTGATTTATATGATGACAGTTCACAATAGCAGATTGAATGGTAGAAGTGTGGTCAATAAATGCTGCATTCTTTTGTAGCCTCTTGAGTAGCAGATTTTCTAAGAGCAGCAAAGAAAGTTTTCTTTTGAAGGGAAGAAAATAAATTGGTCCGTGGTTCACCGACATGTATGCTTCATCAGGATTAATTTCTCAATTCGTTAATTTTTGTGTCCTTAAGCAATATTTCTCATTAAAATATATATTCTCATTATTTAAGGGCATATTTTGCTTAAATTACTCACAAGGAGTAAATAAAATATGCTCCAGCTCATTTTGAATTTAAAATAAATTTTTAAATAAATAAAATACGGGCAAAATGTCGTTATTGTCCCATGTTTCTGAATTTTCTAAGTAGTTTTTCTATAGTAAGGTGTTACAGAGACAAATGCATACATATTGTGATACAGTTGGAGTGTCTACTTATATAAATTCTTAAAAGAATTTGTATATTTTGTTCTATACATTATTTTGTATGTGTCCCTTACTTATGTGTAATTACCCTCCCAAATCCGAAAAGTGCCAATACAACACTATAGATGGCTGTAGTTGAATTAAATATAACTTCTAAGCAGAGATGGGCATTTGTCATTCAGAATAATGTATAAAGAATGATGAATAATTATTCAAAATCTTCCTGAATAATGAATAAAGATTTATTCATTTTTGAAGAAATTTACTTATATAATGAATGGTTTACACACTGAGAAAAAAGGGTTTAATTTCTTAAGTTAAAATTATATTTAGGAATTTAAAATAAGATTATCGTTTGATTTCAAAAACGATAAGATATTGAGTTTTATAGATATTTGAATTAAATTTTAAAATGAACATAAATAACTTAACTGTTATAAACTACTTTTTTGTACAACTAAGTATAAGAACTTATAAAATAATAATGTTAAAAATAACATAAAAATAAGTATTCATACTTATCATAGTTTTATAATTAAATTCCTTACATAAGACGTTTAAGAGCAAATGATGTTTTGTATCTCGGTCTTTGAAAAAACATAGAGTTGATAAGTAAAGAGTTTGGCTTACGTACACATAATGTATGTACATACATTGTAAATACATATATTTCTTGTATTTTATTCATTATATGTACTAACGTAGATGGACACATTTATATATTATATGTACTAATGTACATGCATGTAAGAACTATTTTATTCATAAGATATATGTATATATTTATGCATATAAAATCCATGTACAGACATATTGGTTTGTATGTGTATCATATGTTTCTATGTATGTACGCACACATCTATGTACAAAAATGTTTGTATGATGTTGCATTATATATGCATGTACGTTAGTAAATTGTATATACATACTCCTAATTTTTATCTAAGAAATTGCAAACTTGTGAAAAGTTTTGAATTGTGCAAAACGTAAAAATTTATTCTTACAAAATATGGATAGTTTAAACAAATAGTTTGAAACAGTTTGATAGTATAAATAGTTGAATAGTGTGAAATTGTTGTTCAACACAGGCTTGGTTTCATGTGAATTGTTTGAAATTTATTAAGCAAGAAGATTGGTCCCCTTCTTCACCAGATCTTAATCCTTTAGACTATTGTGTTTAGGGTATTCTGGAATCTAAAGTTAATGCTAAGCAGCACAGAAGTTTGGACACTCTCGGAGCTTTTTGATTGCGTGAATGGGACAAATTACCTCTTAAAATGGTTTGTGCCGTTGTTGGACAATGACGTAAGAAATAATCTTTAGTAATCGATAAATATGGTGGTTGATTTGAATATTTTTTTTTTAAGGTAAACATCCATTTATAGCGTTCATCATAATCATATTGTGTATTTATCATTTTCTATTTAATATCTGTATAACAAAATGATTCAATATTCAGGGGTCGCATTCCCCCTAAAATTCATCAAATTCCTAAAAGTATGTGCAAACCCTAAAATTCCTAAAAATCTGATAAAATTTTGTTGGTGTTCCTAAAAAATTAGAGTTATAGGCTAAATATAAATAAAAAAGCAATAATCAAAAATATAAGAATTTAACTACATTAATTAAAACTGTTTTAATTTTGCCACATGGGAATTCTGATCCTGAGAGAGGTTTTTCGATAAATAAAGCAATGCTTAATGTGAGTCACCATGAGAATACTATTATGTCTCTTAGACTAATCAAAGATACCATTCGAAATTATGGAGGAGTGTTGAAGATCACCACAACACTATTGAGGGCAGTAAAAGAATCTCACAAGCATGATTAATTTGTTTTTCTCTAACTTCTAGTTTTGATTAAGAAGGTAAAAATTAAATAAAAATCCAAGTTGGTGTTAATTTATTTTTTCTCTTGATTTATTCTCACTTTTGCCTGTTCCTGAATTATGCACTTAATTTCTGATAGGTAATATGTAAAGTTGAAATTTCATTTTTACACTTTAGAGATTTCATTCTTGACTTAATAAATTTCAGAGCTTTATTTTATGGCTTGAAATTATTTATGATATGTGTGGATGAATTGTAATAATCTTCTGTTATGTAATAAACTACCATGTGATCTGTGTTTATCCTAGCAAAATCATATATTACCCCTAAAATTTACCTAAAATTTTTTGAAAAAAGTTCCTCAAATTACCCTAAAATTTTAAAAAACTTTGCTGCTACCCCTGAATATTTGTAACAGTATTTTGTAGATGCTTCTTTTAGGGAAAGTTCATCAGTTTTTTTCTTCTCTATATTTATTTTTACCACATTAAGCAGATACTGGATTTCAAACTTTGTATGAAATATTTATTATACTGCTGTCTCACCTTTTTTACATAATAAAGTATTGAAGATATTGCTTTTAAACCTTAAGATAGTACATATAGAACTTGAATATTTTTATTTATAATGTAATTTTATTTGTTTGCTATTTTTTCTTTATGCTCATTCAGATTTTCAAAGACGCTCCATTTTCTTTCAGAATTATTGTACAGATCAGACTTTTTTCCTGGATTAGGATGGATGTTAACAAAATCCCTTTGGGCGGAGCTGGCTCCTAAGTGGCCTAAAGCGTTAGTACTCAGTTTTGTATATCATACACACTTCTTGAATATTTCTATTAATTCCTTTTGAATCTAGCTATAATAAAACTGTAATTCTTTACTCTTTATAGCAAAAGATTATAGTTTAATGATTTTGTCACAACATTTAACCTTTGCAAATTTTATTCAAATATATATTTAATGATATGTGTTCTCTTTCTTTTTTGAAACAGATTTTGGGATGATTGGATTCGTCAGCCTGCACAAAGACGAGAACGAGCTTGTATCCGCCCAGAGATTTCACGCACTAAAACATTTGGGAAAGTGGGTGTTAGCAAGTATGAAAATCTTATGGATTTCTATACATTCATTATTTATCTGTTAAAAACGAGCCTAATTGAATGGGAGGGAAAAAACTGCCATTTAAGGCAAAAGTTTGTCAAATTTTAATCTCATAAAATTTTACTGGCTATCAAAAATTAGGGTTAAAAAAAATCTCTGCACCCGATGGACCTTTTTGTTAAGCTTACTGTAGAAGGTTTTCATGGTTTTCCTCTCCATGTCACACAAATGAGAGTTAGTTCCATCAAAAATTCCTCCACGAAGGCGAATTTCTCTCAATACTTTGTTCAATTATTCATACTGCATCTCTTGTCTTCTGGATTGGGTTAAAAAATACAAGGATACGAGGTTGAACATTGGTTGTCGTAAACTCTAAATTGGGTCAGCTGTTCAAGAGCGATTATAAAATAAGAGGAATCTACCACATGCCTGAATTTTTTCATCCTTTCATTATTAGTAATGTTAAATTAGATTTCATGTCCCACATTTAAATTTGTTGTCTGAAATTTAGTTTAGTTATAAATTTGTTTTTTGTCTATATGCATAATCTGAAAATGATTAAAATAAGCAGAGTTATGGTTTTTCACAAAAAAATCTAAAAAGAACTATGTTATCATTACAAATAGTAATTAAAAAGACATTTTTCTTTATTAACAAATTTAGTTATTTTATTTTGAATTGAAAAGTGCAATTGAAAATACTAATGCAATTTTTTATAAATGCATATCCTTTTTAATACAATGCTGTTAAAAAGATTTTAAAAAAAAATTCTCATTTCTTACCCATTGGCATTTTATTTCATAAATATAATTTCTAGTCAACCAAAATATTAAATAAAAAATCGATTATTGTTTAAATCTAAGTAAAATTTCAGATTTCAAAATTATTAAAAAAAAAAAAAGAAATTGGTTATAAATCCTAATTCTCTAACTTAAACTTTTCCAAATGATATTCCACGAACCCCTTAAGTTCTGTGGAACTGCTGGAACCTTAGAGTTCTGTGGTGTACATTTGGAAACTTCTGCTTGAGTTAACTGTTTGGGCAAGAAACAATGAACAATTTTCTGTCATCTTTAATTTTTCATATTCTTTGCAAAATGAATATTTTTTAATATTCTATAAAAATGTATGAAAGTGTTTTTTTCTCCCTTTAAAAATTAATTTGTTCCTTGTAAAATAAAATTAATTATTTTTGTCAAAATGTAAAATACTATTTTGACTCGGAATATATTTAAATTAGATTGGTCTGACAAGTAACAGAAATATTATTTCATATTTTTCCTTTTAGCAGCACAATCTTTTGATAAACTTCATAACTAATTTTTTATGAGAATGAATTTCCCTGTTTTTCTATCCTTTGATTTTTCAATTATCGATTATTTTTGGGACACCCAGAGGATTTTTTTTTACTCTTTGAGGAGCAGGAAGTTTTTTCTTCTCACCATTTTCTAATGCCTGTAAAGTTTTCTTTGAATTGAGTTGATTATATTTTTGTTGTCAGTGTTTTATATAAAAATTATTTTAAATGGCATGCAACATGTTCTTGATAGGGATGTAACGAATAGTGATTTGGACGAATACAGAATATTCGGTAACCGGATAGCATAATTTTTTGTTTTAAAAAATCATTAATGAATATTATAATGATTTTATGTATATATAAATAGTTGAAGATAGTTTTACATTTATATAAGCTTAGTCATTATTGAGAAATAATCCAAACTTAGCTATGTTATTGGTATGAGGTAAAGATAAAAAAATATAGTAAAATTATTTAAAATAATTAAATACTAAGATACTTAGAGATATTTAGATAAATAAAAATCTGAGTAACCGCTATTAAAACAATTTAAAAAGTGGTAAAGTTGAAAAAAAGGTAAAGGGAAATAGAAAGAAAAAAAAATCCCCAAATTATTCTTAAAACAAAACTTCAATGCCAAAAATAATATTTTCTGGAAAAAAAAAATGTACATAAAGCATTAAGAAAGATATACTCTATAAAAATACCCATAAAAAAGATTGCATACAAAAGCAAAACAGAAAAAATAAAAATTGGTCTTAATTTTCGAAAGAAACATCTCATAAATATCTTAGCTAACATCTAAATATTTCAGTTTTCTAATTAACCGGATTTTAAAAAAAGTGCAGAATAAATTTTAATTGAAACCCTCTTAATTGCTGCATCATAATAAAAACGTGTTTAAAAACTAATGTTTTTGAAAAAGAAAAAGCTAGAAAGAAACCAAAACAAAAATAATTTTTAATTTTTGAACCAAAAAAAAAATAAATTAAACATTAAAAATTTCTATTTAACTTTTACAAATTGCTGTACTTGTTCTTACGGGATATTACATAAAAGAATATTGTTCTTCTATTCATATTCTCAACACCCCCCCCCCCNNNNCCCCCCCCCAACTTTTCCAAGTAGATTTGCGCAAAATTCTAGTTTTTTTAAATTGAACAAAATTTATATTTAATTACAATGTAAATAAGAATCATAAATAAATCACAGCTCTAAAAAAAAATTAATAAATTATTTTTATTTAAAAAGAAATCAAGTGATTTTAACTATTCCAACTCTGATTGGAAGGAATAAATTGTCAGTACAATAAACATGACTGAAAGTGATAATAAATCAAAGGGAATTTACTGGATGATATTTTGAAGAAAAAATCAATTCCTCAAATAGTATGAAGTTCTTTTGAAAAAGTTATGATCTGTGTATAATCGAAGTACATTGCATTTAATTAACGTAAGAAAATTTTAAAAAAAATTAAAACACAATGAACAATTAAAACCCAAACATTAGCATTGATGAAAAAAAAAATTATAATTATGGAAAAGAAAGCACCAATAAGATTGCAAAAATTTATTGAGTGATACCAGTTTAAAAAGAAAAACAAAATGAAAGGATGACGAAAATTGATTGATAAGCAAAAGTGGATTAGAAAAAAATAAAGGCCTAGCATGTTAATACTCTCTAGGCAGAAGTTTCTAGTTATTCAAGTCGAACATCCAATTGACATCACTCCAGAAATGCTTAAGAATAATAGAATCTTGAGGATACACTTAATAATGGTCGATCGGGGAAAAAAATCTGATTTTTTTTTAAATCCTCCATTGTGCAAGAGTAAATTATGGCTAAAAACAGAATGGTGAAATCTCACAATTTGATAGCGTATCAAATTCTCGATTTTGGAGCAAAATTACGTTTTTCCCCGACAATTCCTTGTTTTTTTTTTTTTAATGTCTTGTTTTCCCTGACAATTCCCGATATTCCCAGTGCATATGAAGCCTGGATTTATTATAAACACTCTTTAAAAAATGCTGTGTCGTAGTAAAAACGCTGAGAAAAGGAAAAAAAAAAAAATCTCACTTCTGAACATAACTTTAACATTGAAAAGCACACTTTTCTAGGTTACCTGTTATTTGTCTTTCCGTACAGGAAAAAAAAATTACAGTAAAAAATAAAGTCTATACGAAACGTTCCATTAGAATGATGCACTATAATTAGAACAGAAAAACAAAACAAACCAAAAAGAAGTTACTGGTTCACGAAGAAAAAAAAAGTTTTGAAAAATGATGAATAGATTCGTTTGAACATAATTTTTAAAAAATCATCGGTGCATAACTTATGGTTCAGTATAAAATAATCTAGTTTGAATTTTTTCAAACTTTACGTTTCCATATGTCTTTCAGAACATAAATTAACTAGTTGTAGAACTTAACAAACATGTGTAAAAACTTTCTAATAATGTGTTGTACAAAATAGGATTTTAAATTATTAAAAAAAATTATTCTTTATTAAATCTTTTCAAACTCTCCCCCTCCTCTCGAAAAAAACTGTCAAAAAATATGTTTCCAAAAAATACTTTTCTGAACATTTGGCTGAATATTCGGCAGAAGGGCCAAATTCTGAATAGTGGCCGAATATTCGTTACATCTCTAGTTCTTGACAGTTAAATTGTTGAAAAATATGTATATGTCAGTACTTTTAAAGTTTTAAAAGATGTTTTTTCTGAAAAAGATTTTGCTTTTTTTTTCAGTGGTTTATTTTATGAGAAGCACTTGAAGTTTATTAGATTAAATGAAAAATTTGTGCCTTTTTCAAAAATGGATCTCTCATACTTAAAGAAAGTAAGAAAATTTGTCTTCAAGTACTGTGTTTGATTTTTTTTCTCATAGATAGGTAGATTAAAGTGTAATGAGAAAAATTTGCATATTGATTTACAAAATATGCATAGTAACATTGCAATTAGAACATTTTTAATGTTGTTCTAAATAAAGGGTCAGGGATGTGTAATATGCAAATTCTATTCATAGAAAATTTATCATTATTACTCATTATTTAAAAAAAGAAAGCATTTGAAATTGTATTTGACTTTAAGGCATCTAAAACTAAATGGACAGAAATGATTGTTATAAAAATATTTATATATTGTTTGCCTTGAAATCTTTCTAATTGACTTAGATTTTACATATTCAAAGAAAGCCAAGCATAAGATAAAACAAGGTAAGTCAACCAGTTTTAGATTATCAAAAAACTGCTCAATTTAAAAAAAATATCTATGCTGGTATGTACAATAATCAATATAGAGTTAGAAAACAAAGACACTTAAAATTAGTGATTTTTTCAAACAAATTTCGTCTAAGTTAGGTGGCGACAAAACGGTTGAAATTAGTTACAAGAGTTAATTAATTTGTAGCAGAAAGTTTTTTAACGACTTTGTGTTCAGAGTTTTTTTATTTTGTTTAAGTATGCTAATAGTTTGTTCTCTTAAAATATGCTCGCAATTTTGATACATAAAAGTTCTCACGTCTATTGCAATGTAAGAAAATTCTGTTTTTATGCACAGTAATGATTTCAAATTTTTTTTTGTCTCCTGTAGGATAATTATGATGTTGCTTTTGTTAAAGAAATTTATGGTGCCCCATCAGTAACATTGTCGCAGCTGCAAAGGGGTAGCATAGATCATTCAGAACCAGTACGAATAACTTATGAAAATAAAGATGTTTTTAAGAAAACTGCGAAAGCTCTTGGCCTTATGGATGATTTTAAGGTAATTGTTAGATTTGAGTAAATCTTACATTTTCACAATTGTTGTTTAAGTGCTATAGCGATTCCAATTTTGATTTTTTTAAATGAGGCATTTCAGAGGACATTTTACATTATATTTTGCAATTTTATTGCCCTTTATGCATTTTCTGTATTAAGTATGTTTCACTTTATACTGTTTTATAATAATTTTTAATGCTAGCTGTTTTGTTATTTAGATAGGAGAATTTAGTGGGCATTCTATTTTTCACAAATTCCATTTTGACTATAAGTTGATCCTTTTCTCAATTCCTCTTAAAAATCATATCTTTTTCTTTTCTTTTGTAGCATGAAAATATTTAAATAAAAAGAAAAAAAAAGTGTAAAGTACTTTAAAAAAAAAACTTTAAAAAGTTTGAGTTAACTAAAATTAAAAAATTTCACAGAATATATAGAAATATTTTTATTTTATAATCATTATTTTTTCATAAAAAATACTTTAATATCTCTTCCGTCCTTAGTTTTTTCAGGTGTGTTAATTATATGCTTATACTGTTTTATCATTAGCAAATAAAGTATTTTTTTTTATTATGTAACTTATAGCAATATTAATTATATCAGTTATTATATTAGATTACGTTAATAATCTAATATCCTTTGTAATACCCTTTTTTTTGTTAATATCTAATAATATTTACTAATCTTGTCCTTGTTTACTAATCCTTGTAATTATTAAAAATTCAGTTCACCTCAGTCAGGGTGTACCCCAGGGAACTGTCCTCAGTCCAATTCTATTCACTCTGTACATGGCCGGAATTGAGAAAACTGTTTCTCTCGGGACTCGCATCGGAATGTTTGCTGATGATATTGCTCTTTGGGGTAGCGGTGACGACGTTGCCGAGATTGAGTCGAGACTCAACAACTCATTAGAAGCCCTATCCAAGTACGCAGATGAATTCAAATTGAGCTTCAACCCAACCAAATCGATAACCACCTTCTTCACTACTAATAAACGACTTTATAAATATGAACCATCCTTGTTTCTCAAACACCAGAAGCTCTCCTACGAGAAACACCCAAAATACCTGGGATACATTCTCGATCCCGAATTTACAAGTAACAAACATATTGATTATATTGTCTCGAAGGCTAGGAAGTGCCTAAATATTATTAAGTGTATCGCTGGTAGGGATTGGGGAGCAGATGCAACTACTCTTAGGACTTCCTACCAGGCTCTTGTTAGACCAATTCTTGAATATGGCTATCCTGTCTACTGCTGTGCTTCTCAATCTAACTTAAACAAATTGGAAAAGGTTCAACTGAGCGCCGCTTGCATCATCACTGGACTGAAACGTAGCTGCCCTTCAGAGATCGTTCTTTACGAAGCAGATCTGCAACCTCTTAACTTCAGAAGGCAAGCTAATTTAGTGAAATATTACAATAAACTTTCCAGTTTAGACCAAGGCAATTTAACTGCTATTTACCTAAATAATTGGACCTGCAATCAAAGGCTAAAGAAAAACAGTCCTTTTAGTCATGTTAAATCACAACTGTTAATCGCTGAAAATATTGAACCTCTTTATCTTCATAGCAATCTTAGTACTTGCTTGGATCTTTCCAATGTTAGTTTCCATGAAAGCCTCCCTACCATGCTTGACAAGAAAGACTGTGTGCCTGACTTCCTCAGACAATTGTCCCTGGAAATCATCAATAAAATCCCTCCAAACGACATCAAAATATTCTCTGATGGCAGTAAAATGGATAGACAGACTGGCAGTGGGGTATTTATTGAAACACCTCGAGAGAACTACACTCTTCATCAACGAAACCCCGATTTTTGCTCCGTCTTTCGAAGCGAACTAATTGCAATCGACAGGGGACTAGAGAAAATCTTGAGTGAAGGGCACCTTGGAAATACTTGGATACTATCTGACAGCCGTAGTTCAATTCAACACCTCAAAAATTGGGCCCTCATTGGAGATAAAACCAGTTTTTCGATCTTACAAAAAGTAAAGCTCATTTCCCAACAGCATGAGGTCCACTTTCAATGGATCCCGTCCCACGTCGATATCCACGGCAACGAGTTGGCTGACACTCTTGCAAAGAAGGGACTAGACCATCCAGTCCCCTCCACCTCAGAGCTTACATACCTTGAACTGTTTGCAAGGCAAAAGTCCCAGAACAAACAAAAGTGGCTGCTTCCACCTATTCACTACTGGTATAAAGCAAAAAGACCAGGACTCTCTTTATCTCTCCCTGGTGACAGGCGAACCAACACCTGCTTATCCCGACTGGCCAGTGGACACCTGAAATGTCTCACATTTTCTGCAAATCAAAAAGTCTTTCCTCTTTGCCCTAAATGCCAACAAAACCAGGCATCACCTGAGCACATCTTGAACTGTTTAGGGCTGGACTGGAATGACATTCATTCCTCTCCCATTCTGGTTTCGGATTTTCTGAATATCAACGGATTCATTGATCTGGTCTGACCCCGTCAGACCAGATGGGAATTAGCAACAACAACAACTAATCTTGTATCGAAGTTAACCATTTTATTTTCATGGTACCGTGTGGTTTTTGGCATTGATGTGCAATAATGCTTAAATTGAATGAAATAGCTAAGTTCTGTTGCTGGTAAATGTCTAAGCTGCAAATATTTTTGTCTTCTTATTTTCAATTTTATGTTATTATTAAATACAATGACATTGTTACAGTCTCAATTCTATCCAAAATGTATTTAATACATTGGAAAGATTGGATACAAATTAATCTGCGATTTTTTTTAACCATCAAATTGCAACAGAAAAATATTTCATATTAAGCAACAAAAAAAAAGCTCTTTTCTCTAAGTTCAAGCAAATGGCTTACAAATTATCAAGTTTCCATTCAATGTTTACCTAATTCAAGGTGTATTTTAATAAAATAAGTGCAAGTCTTTAACTAAGAGCAGATTGGTTATCTAATTCGCAAACATTTGTATAAGAAAGTTCAATCTGGCACATGAGCAATTGAAGCAGTAAGAGGTAACTAAGTTATTCCAATAAGGTTAGTCGCTATTTGTGATTATCTTTAAAATTATTGCCCTGGTTATTTATATATTAAAGGTATTACAAACAAACTTCTAATTCAATTATTTCCACTGTACAACTCCATGATGCATGACAAGATAGATGCATGACTTCCCAATGAACTCTTCATTGTTAATACACATATATATTTGAGCACTTTGAATTAAGTAGGGTTTTCAAAACACTTTTGAAGGCAAAGAAATTTTCCGAAACTTTAGTAAAATTATTTTCCGAAAGTTTATAGAAAGTTCTTTACTAAATCCAAATTATGTGTTTTTTTGGTTGACTTTTTAATATTGAACTAACCATATTTGTAACTATTTCCTCATTAAAAATGGGATGCAATTAAATCTGGACTTGCTATTGCTGAGTTCGATTGTACTGTTATTCCATTTTGTTTTATTTTACCATCAATATACTGCCAGTATCTCAGTATAATGGGTTTGAAATAGACTATAAAGTCCAATTCAGAAGTTGAAAAGCCCATAAAAAAGTATTGTTGCAAACTTGTCATTTTGAGGAACATTTTAACTAACAGAAATCAGAAATTACTAAACTGTCTACTTATTTTATATCATTTATGTTTTCTAAATCTAAACAGGTATATTAAACCACCCCTATAGTTGAAAGAAGTAACGAAAATATGTTTTAACTTAACAAAAAGGTGCTTTTAGAAGAAGTCTGAATAAAAGTACCTACCTAATTGTACCCAAAATAAGCTACCAGGATTTAAATCTTTTTTTTTTTTTTTTTTTTTGCGTCGTATTTAAGCTTTATTTAATTGTGAATTATAGATAATGTAGCAGATGTGAAATCTATTGTAAATTAATATTCTGTACTTCAGAGAAATTTCCATACATCATTTGTCCAACAATTTTCTTTATTTTTTGTTTTTGTTTATATGCATTAAAAAACTAGAACTAGTATTTTTGGTAGAAGTTATGGTTTAAATTTTTTTAATTACTGTTTTGAGTGAATTCGTTTAAATGAAATGCATACTTATCTCCAATATTTAGAATAACTATTCTCTATGTAATAACGTAAGGTATGAATCAGTTATATTTACTCTGATAAAATTATTTGACCTTGAGATAGAATAAAATTAGAGTTCCACAATGTAAAGAACATATTTTTTTTTAATAGAAAAAAATGAAATTGTTGTAAAAGTCAACCTTTTAGACGGAAAAAATTAATTAATTATCGCGCATGACCAAAGGAAGGATAAGAAAAACTATTATTAAGGGAACTGATTTTTTACTGCAGTTTTATTTTTATGATTTTGTAACATTTTTTTTTCCAATTTTTTCAGTCTGGAGTTCCTCGAACTGGTTACAGAGGTGTTGTCAGCTTCCTTTACAAAGGTCGTCGAGTTTATTTAGCACCACCTGCAGAATGGAAAGGTTACGATCCCACTTGGAGCTAGCAGTTTATAAAAAGAATTTAAATTAAGGAAATAAATCTCATATCATTGCTGCAGAATTTACAAATGACCCTCTTGAATAAAGAAAGGGAACTGTTGTATGTTTTGACGCAGCATTGGAATGATAAAACTTAAGCTACTGTGATCTTCTTTGAGGCATTCCTATTGGCCCAAATTGAATTTGAAGCTGAAAAAAACAAAATAAAAATTAACTGCTGTACCTGTAGAGTAACAATCATCTTCCAACTCATCAGCCACTATTCATGATATTCTTTGTTTTGTAAAGGCATTAGAATTAAACTTATAAAAGAATAATAAGAATGCAGGGTTGTTCTTATAGAAAGAATTATTTTTCTCTCTGAACTTAAAATAACATTTGTTCTAAAATAGTACATATCAGTAATATTTTGCCCTTGAGTGTATCTTTTTTGCTTTGACCCTTAAAGTGTTGAACTCCTGTATAAAATTGTCTTGAATAGGGAGCTGGAGCACTCCAGAGCTTCCAGGGAGCTGTAGCTCTGAATTTTTCTGTTCTCCAGAAAAAATTTAGATTTCCTCTTTTTAATATTCATTTAAATCTTCTTTTTTTTTTTTTTAAGTAAAATAATGAAAGATTTTTGTACTTTTAATTTCTGGATGATATATTTTATATTGATATGTTTTTTTCTGGCAGTATTTATTTTCATTCTGATTAATATCTAATAATTATGAGATACTAATCATACTGTTTATCTAAAATTTATTCTCATGACTGAAATACTAAGTTCCTTCTAATAATAACTAATGCTCTTTTCTATTTTGATAATTTCAAATTAAAATCCGAAAATCAAAAGCGTGTATAAATATATAGAATTACCAGAGCCTTAGTGAAAGTGGAGTTTTAGCTTATTATCTGGAAGTGGAGCATTGAAAATTTTTTGGCTATGGATCCCTGGTCATGAAACTTCCTTGCAACACAGAACTTTTCCATTGGGAAAAACCAGTTTTTTCAAAGCATGAAAGCAACCAGCTGAAAATTTTGAAAATACTGGGACCAATGCTCAAAGGGATAAGTTATTTTGTGTAGTTATTCCCTATTGAGCTTGAAAGCTTTTATTTATTTTTGTTGGTTTCATAGTTCAGTTAGTTTACCTTCAACTTAGAAATTCCATTTTTACAATTGAAATGAACTATATTTATTTATTAGTGTTTAATTAGAATATCATATTCAGTTGTATTCTTAATGAATTTCAAATTTACTTTTTTTATAAAAAGTAAATTGTGCTTTTGAACATACGTTGGTCTCGTACACATATGCATTGATAAGTTATAAAGATATATTTTTGTTTTATTTTGTGAAAAATTGGTATCAAAAAATGTATTAATAATCATAGGTATTTTTCTTTGCACTTGAAAAATTTTATTTGTTTACTTGTACTAAATTAAAGAAAAAAAATATTTGAAGAGCTTAGTCAGAGAATATTAAACAGTTGTGTTTTGAAGAGATTCAATTTTCAAGCTTAAGAGCCCTCTTCCCTAAAAGTTTTGGATTTTAAGTTTACTTTTTGTTTTCACATCGTTTTTTGTTTTTGACAATCTTTAATATCATTTGTTTTGGTTTATTTAATTGAGAGAAGAACCACTTTATAACTTTTAGAACATTATTTAATTTTTTTTTCAAGAATTTTATATTATATAACAATACACTTATTTTAAAATTAGTTTCAGATAGGCAATTTAATACTGTTCATTTGTGCGCTTTTCAAATTTATTTTTGTTTAAACTGAGGAGAGCTAATTAAAAATCGAATCAAATGTATTTTTCAAAATTCTAAAAAAAAAAGCTAAATTTACTTTTTTGAAAAGGGTTGTAGCAGAATTGTATTCTTATAGCTTGTGTTGAAAAATTCTCACGAAATTCTGAAATAAATCCAGGAATGACCTTGCATTTAATATATTTTGTAAGATACTGCAGTTTAGAGTAATTATCAATCAACAGTTATTTGGGAAATTGAATGAAGATGATTTAAGTTACATTTAACCTCTTCAAGAATGATGAAAGGAGAAAAGACGGTTCCCTGTACCTTCATGCTCTGCGAGTTCGTACCAGGTGAATTTCCCCATTATTGAAACTTCATTGCTGCACTTAAATACGATAAAATTTACAGTTTATTATCATTGATAGTAACTGAATATACTGTAATAAAACATTGGTGAAATTTAAAAAAAACAAACTCAAAATGAACCAAAACATACAAAATAGCCAACAAGTTCCGAACTACAAACAACAATAAGCATTCCATCTCCTTCCCAATTCGTCAAAATATAATCAAAAACCTAAAGCACAGTAATTCAGGTGCCTAATCTTCTCTAAAAGGCCAGTCATGCATAGTTGTTTGCATGTTTAAATACTCTGTATCAAATAAAAATAAATAAATACTCGAAGCCGAAAGCACATGTTGAAGATCAGCACGCTTTAAAGCATTATTTGAAATTGTAAGGAATTTAAACTGCCATCTAATTTATTTAAAAATTTAAATAAAATGCTTGAAATTGGAATTATGTTCATGTCATCATAGGCTGCTGGTGTTCTAAAACCTGATCGAACATGATATCATTAACTGACAGCTGTGAAGGGGGGATGTGATCATGCAATAAAGATCCACCCTTTTCTTATTCGTCTACATTCCCCCCCCCTCCATTGTTTATATCTCTCCGACAGTTTAATAAAATTTTAAAGGAAGGGGCCTCTTAAGAACGTGTTATAGTCTGCTGTAAGTGTAAAATAGTAATTTATTGTGCCAAGTTAATAAGACTTTTTTTTTTTAATGGAGAAATTTTTTTTTTTTTTTGTATTTCTACATGTTTTAAAAGTAATTTTCTTAAATTTATAAAATTGTTTCTTTTGTTTTTATTTGTGTTTGATACAGTATTTTTCTTAAATTTAAAGCTAACATGTTGCACTTATTTATGTAAATATTATTTTTTTTTGTATTAAAAAATGCTTAATTATAAATACACATTCATTTTAGTTAGGTAAAACTTGATTCGTTGTTTAGTAATATGTTATTATTTATATTGATGTATCTTTATATTAAAGCATGATAATGCTTAGCACATTTTATTGTCATTTATGCCTTGAATGACATTATAATGTTGTAATATAATCTATGATGTCTTATTATAAAAAAAATGTTATTAAGTAATAATTTTTTTTTTTACTTATGAAGAAATAATAGATGCAAATCCAACATTTTCTTCCTAAGGTCATAATGAAAAACGAATGTAAAATTAGGTTTTAACTAGAAATAAGACAATTTTTCAAACTTTAATTTATTCCCTGAGAGTTTTACTTTGTTTCATTTTTAATAATTTAAGACCAATTGCAATTTAAAAAAAAAAAAAAAAGGATTTCGGAAATCTAATTCTTTAAACCTAACTATTTGAAATGATTTTGACACATTTTTATTTTTATTAATGCTTTTAATATTGGTTGCTATTATTTCTTTACAAATTGTATTGATCATATTTTAGACTCATTGCATGTATACATAAAATAAAAATTGTAGTAACAAAACATCATTTGTTTTGAAAGTTTCTGAGAAATATATTTATTTTAGGTAAGGAACTTAAAAACTTGTAATATCCTTGTGCCAGTTTTAAATTAAAATCAATAAATTGTGCTAAAAATAAATTTCTAAGCAATGAAAGAAAATGTAATGGAAAACTATAATTTGTTGATACTTGAATAGGGA